TACAGCTATAAATTTGTGTTAACATTGAAAAATATGTTTCTGACATTTCTCATTTGTTGATGTTTTTGTTGTATTTTTGTTTGGCATCACGACTCAATCGTACCTTTGAAATGAATTTCGACATATTTTCTTTGACATTTTTATTTTAGTTTTTTTTTTGCAAATTTATTTGTTTACAAAGAAAATGCCGCCGAGTTCGATTATTTATTTATTGTGAAAACTATTTCAAGATCGATGACAAGACGCACAGCATGAATGACAGACAGTCACTGCCACTGTGTGAACGAACGAACGATCGATCGACCACATCATTTTACTATAGGTTAACAACAACAACAACATATCTGTTCTAGTTCTCGAAAATCGAAGGTCAACATCTTTAAAAAATCAAACAGTTTGTATTTCAGTTTAGTTTATTTTTCTCACAAATACATACATGTAGATATGTGTGTGTGGGCCTTTAATTGGTATGAGGGTGGGCATAGTTGGTAGATCACATCGTATGTTACTCCATACAGGTTTTATTTATATAGGAGGTCATCCGGAGGGTCTTCTGTGTATGAAAGAATTCCTGAAGAAGTTCGATGAGGTCCACTAAATATGAAAAATGTAAAGAAGGTACCCTATTTATATATACCACCTCCTGAACGACCAATTTCAATGTGTGACAATTTTCGGGTCACGGTCTGGGGGCGAAAAATTCCAAATACTGGGGCTAGTATTAGGTAAAAAATTCGAGTGCATTCCACTAATTATAGAAAATGTCAGGCAGGCACCCAATTCATATATTACCTACTGAACTACTGATCTTCTTTAAAAATATGCAAAATATTCTTTCAATTTCAATGTTCGGCAATTTTCAAGTCATGGTCTGGGGGGAGGGGAAATTCCAAATGCTGAATTTTTAATTCTCAGACCAAAATATTAAATTTATAATGTATTCTGACCCAATACCACCGGTCATCAGCATTTGGAAAAGCACCCCTCCCCTGGTCATGACCCAAAAAATTTCGCACAGTGTAATTGGAGGTGCCTTTTGCATAGTCGAACTCCTAATTTCATAAGCTATATTTGAAATTTTCACCCTTCCCAAAAAAGGGCCAAATCAATTGAAAACTACGGCCAAGACCCCGGAATTAGCTGAAATCAGGGAATACCTTGAGGGTTATACTAAAAAGTGGACCAATATTATTAATTTTTTTTTGCAAAGATGGCTGCTTCTTACTAAAAACTCAAGTTATCAAAATTTTCCGAATTTAGATGAAACAAATAAAAAAGCAGCTAAGTTCGGCTTAGTACCCCTAACATTTGGAAAAACTTAAAAACTTAAAAAAATCGTCGAAAAATACCGTTAAAATGAAAATCGTTATATGGAAGGACCTGCATACACAATTTTTAGTCATAGACTGTAGTACCGATTCCGAACTTCAACCACAAAAATTTGAAACAATTCCGGAGAATAAGGTCGCTAAAATCATCAAAATACCGAATATTGGGAGGTAGTATTTTATGGGGGCTATACGAAGACGTAGGCCGGCATTGACAATTTTCCGTCATAGGTTGTAGTACCTATTAGGACCTTCAACTATTAGGACCTTCAAACAATTCCGATCTGTAATGTCACTAATATCATCAAAATACCGACTATCGGGAGGTACTGTTATATGGGGGCTATACGAAGAAGTGGACCGGCATTGACAATTTTCCGTCATAGGCTGTAGTGCCGATTCCGAATTTCAAATACGAAATTTGAAACAATTCCGGTGAATAAGGTCACTAATATCATCAGAATACCGAATATCGGGAGGTATCGTTATATGGGGGCTATACGAAGAAGTGGACTTACATAGACAATTTTCCGTCATAGGTTGGAGTATCTATTACGAGTTTTAAATACGAAATTTAAAATTATTCCGGTGAATAAGGTCGCTAATATCATCAAAATACCGAATATGGGGAGGTACTTTTATATGGGGGCTATACGAAGACGTGGACCTGCATAGACAATTTCTTGTCATAGGTTGTAGTACCCATTGGAACTTCCAATTACGAAATTTGAAATAATTCCGCTAAATAATGTCTCCAAAAATCGTAAATTCTGCGAAGCATAGAGTAAAATATTTGAGGCTCTTTGGGTATGGTTAAGGCTTTATATAATGGACCCTAAAAAGAGTTTGGCCTTGGGACCCAAAACACTTTTGGGGTTTTGATATAATAACCGAATACCATCACCTCAACATAATATTTCCCTCAACCCAAAAGGCTGTCCACCGGAGAGACCTTCTACCTCAAATGTTTGCTGTAGGAGACCTCTAAAAATTCTTCTATCCGTGAAAGTCATCTAAAAACTTTCCTATCTCTTGAAAAACTCAACAAGTTTCTTTTCTTAAAAAAAACCTATAGAAGTCCCACTCCTATATAGCATTCCATAAAATACCCCTTAGAACTGCTGGTATAGGGTACATCACGGTGTCGACAAGATTTTGTTTCAGTTTTTATTTATTCCTCCCATACCAAAGCCAAAACGTGAAGGTATTTTATTTTTAATTATTTTTTTTTTCTATTTTTCAAACGTTTCATAATTTATGACTGCTGCTGTTGTTGTTGTTATTTTTGTATCGTTTTCTTGCCAATCTCGTTTCGGGTTTTCTTCAAATTCAAAACTAGAAAATCTCACAACATAATTTGTCGCCACGGCAATTTTTCTAACATTTATTTGCCATTAAAATATTTCAATTTGAGTTCTACACCGCCAGACCGTCGGTCAGACCGACCACCAGTGTTCGTCATCATTTGTCTGGGCGTTTTTCATTCGCGTAAACGCATATAATAAAGATCTTTGTGACACCCAAAGAGCCGTAGACCCGAAACACACACAAAATTGGCATTAAAGAGTATTGGACTTTGATGTTGAAAATTCAATTAAATTTTGAATTTTGATTTTTTTAGAACAAATTACAGGTCCAATTTTTTTATTAGGGAAAAATTACAGAACTACTGGGAAAAAATTTGCAGACCCCTGGCTGGCAGCTGCGGCCTTTTTTCCATAGGAAAAAAGTTGCAGACCCCCAAGACTGCTGCTGGGTTTTTTCCACAGGAAGTAAGTTGTAGACCCACTGGACTGCTGGATTTTTTCCATAGGAAAAAAGTTGCAGAACCCCAGGACTGCTGGCTTATATCCATAGGAAAAAAGTTTCAGAACCCCAGGACTGCTGCTGGCAGGACTGCTCGAGTTTTTTTGCATAGGAAAAAAGTTTCAGAACCCCAGGACTGCTGGTGGCTTTTTTCCATAGGAAACAGGTTGCAGATCCCCAGGACTGCTGCTGGCTTTTTTCCATAGGAAATAAGTTGCAGACCTCCAGGACTGCTGGCTCTTTTCCATAGGAAAAAATTTGCAGACCCCCAGCAGGACTGCAGCTGGCTTTCTTTTCCATAGAAAAAAAAAGTTGCAGACCCCTAGGAGGACTGCTGCTGGCTTTTTTCCATAGGAAAAAAGTTGCAGACCCCCAGGACTGCTGCCGGCTTTTTTCCATAGGAAAAAAGTTGCAGACCCCCAGGACTTCTAAAAAAAGTTGCAGGCCCCCAGCACTGCTGGTTTTTTACATAGGAAAAAAGGACTGCTGCTGGTTTTTTTCCACAGAAAAAAAGTTGCGGAACCCCAGGACTGCCAGGTTTTTTCCATAGGAAAAAAGATGCAGATCCTCAGGACTGCTGCCGGCTTTATTCCATAGAAAAAAAGTTGCAGAACCTCAGGACTGCTGCTGGCTATTTTCCATAGGAAAAAATATGCAGACCCTCAGGACTGCTGTTGGCTTTTTTCCATAGGAAAAAAGTTGCAGACCCCCAGGACCGCTGCTGGCTTTTTTCCATAGGAAAAAAGTTGCAGACCCCCAGGACTGCTGCTGGCTTTTTTCCATAGGAAAAAAGTTGCAGACCCCCAGGACTGCTGCTGGCTTTTTTCCATAGGAAAAAAATTGCAGACCCCCAGGACTGCTGCTGGCTTTTTCCATAGGTAAAAAGTTGCAGAACCCCAGGATTGCTGCTGGCTATTTTCCATAGGAAAAAAGTTGCAGACCCCCAGGACTGCTGGCTTTTTTCCATAGGAAAAAAGTTGCAGACCCCCAGGACTGCTGGCTTTTTTCCATAGGAAAAAAGTTGCAGACCCCCAGGACTGCTGGCTTTTTTCCATAGGAAAAAAGTTGCAGACCCCCAGGACTGCTGGCTTTTTTCCATAGGAAAAAAGTTGCAGACCCCCAGGACTGCTGGCTTTTTTCCATAGGAAAAAAGTTGCAGACCCCCAGGACTGCTGGCTTTTTTCCATAGGAAAAAAGTTGCAGACCCCCAGGACTGCTGGCTTTTTTCCATAGGAAAAAAGTTGCAGACCCCCAGGACTGCTGGCTTTTTTCCATAGGAAAAAAGTTGCAGAACCACAGGACTGCTGCTGGCTTTTTTCCATAGAAAAAAATGCAGAACCACAGGACTGCTGCTGGCTTTTTTCCATAGAAAAAAAGTTGCAGAACTCCAGGACTGCTGGCTTTTTTCCATAGAAAAAAGTTGAAGAACCCCAGAACTGCTGCTGGCTTTTTCCATAGAAAAAAAGTTGCGGACCCCTAGGACTGCTGACTTTTTTCCATAGAAAAAAAGTTGCAGACCCCCCAAAACTACCTAGGCCCTTAGTCTGAGGATTTTTTTCTGCAGGAAAAATTACATGCCACCAGTTGTTTTTTCCGTAGGTTTTTTTCCGCAGAAAATAATTCGAGGCCTCCTATTAAAAATATTTAAAAAAATAGTAACTTCCATTTTATGCTAATCGCGTGCCCATTTCGGGGCTCTAATTTCTAAAATAAATAGAAAACTGTTATACAAACTATAATACAAATAGAAAAGCGTATAACAAATTATTTCCATTAACAAATCCCCTCCTCCACCTCTCTTGAAAATAAATATCAATGCATCTTAATTACTTATATCAACAAAAATGTTCTCCATTAATCACCTACCGTTTCAAATGATCTCGCTTGTTATCCTCGCGCACAACAACTTGCGTTTCTTGGGCTATTTGTCCAAAACAGACGTTGTTGGTCTCTCGTACCATTTTCGTTTGTGAAACTTCATGGAGGCGAATTATTTTTTAAATGGGCGCACTCCAAACCCATTCAGCTGAAATAAAATGGTTATCCTTTTTTCTTGCAATGGGGGAGGGGGCGGGGTGTATCCTTTATATTTGTGTTGTTGTGAATATCAGCGATACAGCGGCTTTGGCATTAAATCGTTAGAAATCGATTTTTTTTTAAATTTCTCTGGTGGCGATTTTATTTAAAACTTTTTTATTTTTCTTTTGCACTAATTGCATTTATTTGCAATTTTTTATATATTTATTTTAATATATTTTATATATTTCTTATATATTTTTTTGCATTGATTTTTTTAATTATGGAAATATTAACACTTTTTTTCTTGCCATGTAGAATGATTTTTATTTTCTTTTTATCGGCAATGATTTTCGATCTGAAAAGAGAAGAAAGGGAAAAAATGGTTTAATAAGAATTTCTTTTTCTTAAATAAAAAAGGACGACGACTGGAAAAAGGAAAAGAAAATATCCTATCCAGTCGTTTGTAAAAAAATATATATTTTTTGAAAGTCTGCTTTATTAAATCTGATAAACGCTAATGAAACATATTCAAAGTATCCAAAGAGTTGACAGTTTTTTAAAAAATAAATTAAAAACATTTTCGATCTCGTACAATAACTCTTAATGTGTTATAAGAGCCCTAAGATATAAAAAATAAAGGTATTTAATTAAAGTATTTAAAAAAAATAAAAAAAAATAAAATAATAAATAAAAGAATATAGTCTTAAAAATGATAGTCTTAAAAAATGAAGTCATGGTGTGTTAAATTAAAAAAAAGATAAAATCTAAAAAGTCTAATTTAAAAAAAAAAAAAAAAAAAAAAACTTAAAAGAACCGAAGATTAAAAAAAATTAAGAAATTCAATGCTTTTTAAGAAATTAAAAAAAACCATATTCCATATAGCCTTAAAAATTAAACCATCAATATGTCAGGTCTGACGGCCCTGGCAATTTAAAAATATATAAAAACCAGTAAAGAAAGTCTTAAAATCGGCCGGGGCCGACTTTATGATACCCTACACCACTTTGTTAATTTAGTAGAGCTGCGCATAACAATTAAAAGTTTTTATGGGAGAATTCAATCATACACGCTATGATTATAATTATAATTTAAAGTTCAAAGGACTAAATATGCCGAAGCATTTGTATCTTTTAAATTCGGACTTGTATTGCCCATTTGGTGCACAATTAATTTGAAATCTGATAAAAATATATATGGGAGCTATATCCAAATCGGAACCGATCTCGATAAAATTTGGCAAAGATATTTCTGAGCTGTATTTCATATATTTCCCTGAATATCGTTGTTACAGAGTGCATATTACGGCTGTGGGTAACAAATATAACAAATCGGAAGGCCAAGTATATATGGGAGCTATAGCTATATCTGAACCGATCTTAACCAAATTTGACATACTAGCTTCTAGACTCAATTCGGTCGTAAATGCCAAATTTCATCCAATTTGGCCAAATATTAGACGTTTGGTGCACAATCAAAGGTAAATCGGACGAAGTTATATATGGGAGCTATATCCAAATCTGAACCGATCTCGATAAAATTTAGCAAATGTATTTCTGAGATGAATTTGATATATTTCCCCAAATATTGTTGTTACAAAGTGCATATTACAGCTGCGGAGTACAAATATAACAAATCGGATGAACAATATATATGGGAGCTATAGCTATATCTGAACGGATTTCGATCAAATTTGGTATACTTATTTTCAGGTCCAATCTGATCGTACGTGCAAAATTCCATACTATTCGGACTTATATTACACGTTTGGTGCACAATAAAAGGCAAATCGGACGAAGATATATATGGGAGCTATATCTAAATTTTGACCGATTATCTCCAATTCCAATAGGGTTCGTCCTTGGGCCCAGCAAATGATTTGTGCAAAATTTCATCTAGATTGGGCAATAAATGCGAACTGTACTTTGTTAAAATACATGGACAGACGGGCGGACATGCATAAATCGACTCAGAATGTGATTCCATGCAGATCATCAAAAGGAACTATGGGTCTATCTCGTTTCCTTTTGCCTGTTACAAACAAATGCACAAAGACATAATACCCTGACCACCTTGTGGTGTAGGGTATAAAAATACCATAGTCCATATAGCCTTAAAAATTAAACCATCAATATATCAGGTGTGACAGCCCTGGCAATTTAAAAATATAAAAAAATGTCTAAAAAAATATAAGGTCTGAAATGTTTTAAAAAAATATTTTTTCAACATTTTCCAAGTCTAGTTTTATTTTTTTTTTAATTTTTTATGTCTTTAAACAAGGTCTGATGAATTTTTAAATAATATTGCCAACAAATCCATGAGTTTTTAAAACCACTTAATATATAATTTCTATAAAATTAAAAAATATGTATATTTTTACAGGAGACATTTAAATACAGAAGATATGAAGCTTATTATTTTTATTATTTTTTTTTTTTTTTTGAAAATCACATACTTTTATGCCTTTTTAAAAAATATTTTACTTAATTTTTTGTAACAATTCACAAGGTAGTATTTGAAAAATAATAAAAATAATATTCAGTAAATCTAATAACTGTTTATAAAATATATTCCTAAAAATTCGGATGACTTTTTAAAAAGTCAATAAAAATACACGAGGTCTAATAACAGTTATTTCAGATAATATTTTCTACAAATCCTTGAGGTAAGGTAGCATTGTAATAAATATTATTTTTTTCTAAATCCACGAAGCATAACAGACTTTTAAAAAAATATTTTATAATAATCTAAGCATTTGAAATAGTATGGAGGGTATACTAAGTTTGTCATTTCGTTTGTAACACCTCGAAATATACATTTTAGACCCCACAAAGTATTAATATTCTTGATCAGCGTAAAATTCTATGTTGGTTTTGTCCGTCCGTCTGTTCGTCTATCCGTCTGTTGAAATCCCTCTAGCTTCCGAACGAATGGAAGTAGATTAATAAAATTTTACTCAAATGTATGTCATGTCTGCAGGACTTTTGATATTGAAAATGGACCATATAGGTCCACGTCTTTGTATAGCCCCCATATAACGGTACCTCCCGATATTCGGTATTTTTATGATTTTAGCGACCTTTTTCACCCGAATTGTTTCAAATTTGGTATTTAAAATTCGTAATGGGTACTACAGCCTAAGACAGAAAATTATCTGTGCAGGTCCACGTCTTCGTATAGCCCCCATATAATGGTAGCTCCCAATATTCGGTATTTTGATGATTTTAGCTACATTGCTACAGATTTTTTACCGAATTTTTAACGGATTTTATTGTTTTTGAGAATTCCCAAATTCGTTCCAAATGGTGGAGGTTATTCAAAGTTCGGCCCGGTCGAATTTACAGCTTTTTTACGTGCTGTGAATTCATTTGGTGTGATAGAACTTTTCAAAATACATTTTTGAAATCCACAAACTCTGATGACTATTTAAAAAATATTTAAAAAAAACATCAGCTAGGTCTTATAGCCTTTCACAAATTCTTGAGCTTCGTGTGGCCAGCTAGTCATTTAAAAATATATCTTTTATTTTTTTAATAATCATTTTCTATTTTATTCTATAATTTTCTTAACTTTATCTCCAGTTATTCGATACGGCCAAAATGTGCCTCATCGAAGTAACGCTAGGTTTCTTTGGACCAAATCCGTTCAGGACATTTGGAGTCGATTTGGCTGTGCCTGTCCGTCTGTTCTTTCTGAAGTCTTGAATTTTTTTGGCTTTCTTGGTCCTATATTTTTTGTTTCGCGTGTGGAAGTTTTTAACTGAGTCTCCTCTCACTATTTTCTTTCGTGTGACCCGAGTCATTTTTATTTGGAAATTTGGCGTGGGTGCAGAATCACTGAAAATGAAGCAAAAGTTCGCTCTAAGAGTGAAAAAGAGCGCTGATTTGTGAGAGCGTGAGTGGAACAGCAAACAAGGTTTGATTCGAACTGATATTCGAGCTACATCGAAAAATTGACTATGCTTGATATTCTCCAGGAGAGCTCCCGCTCGAATTCGAATGAGTTTCACACTCTGTTCAAATTCCTTCAAGGAATCTACCTAAACTATTCAAAAAATTTTATTTTCAGAATATTTTGCGAAAATGTTGCCCTTGAAAATCTGACCATTTAACACCTTTTAAGGATGAATATATCTCTATAGTCAGGTCCGGAAAAATATATCAATGGAAACGGATGGAAAATATTAAATTTCTGTCACTCTCTTTCCCAGCAGTTTTTATTTCCTTAGCTTTGCTCCCTCCCAATAATTCGCATTTTTTTTTTTTTTTTTTGTAGATTTTCTCAAAAAAAAAGAAAATTGTATATCTCCTACTATGTCTCGAAAGCTAGGATCCCTATATAATATTTTACCTTTCTGTCTCCCTCTGAAATCCGAATTCTCTCCCTCCGCTCTCTGAAAAATCCAGTTTTGATATCAAGAAATTTCCGTTTTCAATTTTTCGTCAATGATTTTATTTATTTTTTTTTTTTCAAAAAAAAAAAATAAATATATATTTCCACATAGGAATTTTTTGGAGCAGCATGGCAAAACAAAAAAAATTATTCAATTCTTGGTTCCAATGTTGTTGTTATATCTGTGTTTTCTGAGCTACGTATTTGGGGGCCAGTAAATTTTTATTACCATTTATTGTCATCAACTTGCAAAAAAAAAACGAAGAAGAAAAAAAATTAAAACCAAAATAAAACCAGTCAAGTCAGCCAAACTGACAGGCAGGCTGGCAACAGCCAGGCTAGCTGAGCTGGTGGTAACGTCAAAAATCCAACCATAACTTGCATGGAAGTCAAGCCACCGGTCCTGTCGTGCCGCCCTGCCTGGCCCGGTTGGCTAGGCCTTCTGTTGTTTTAATGGCTGGATGGTGGAGCTCGATGTTGATGATGATGACGATGATATTTTTGCAGCTACTGACTGACTGGCGCGCTAAACATTATATTTTGGTTTTTAAAATGGGAAGTATTGGTTGTTGGTGAAGAAACATTGGGGTTACACGATGAGCCAGCCAGTGAACAACAATACCATCATCACTGCCGCCATCGTCGTCAGCAGCAGTGGCAGAGCCATAAAAACCATTTTGGGTTCAAACTACACATTTATGGTTAAAAGCTGAAGAAAAAAAACAAATGAACGAACGAAAAAAATTACAGCAACATCGTCGTCGTCGTCATCATAGATGGATGGTTGGACGGACGGCCAGGCCAGGCCAAATTACGATGTCTGTGAGGTGTTGTTTTCAGCAGAGCCAGCCATACACTTAGCCGTTTCGTCGTTCGTTCCTACGCCTGCTGGTTTGATGGCTGGCTGACTGGCTGGTTGGTTTGCTGTACTGTGCTGTCTGTCCTTTCCTCTGGCCGGCCATATGT